CAGTGTTACAGAAGAAGATGAGACAGTTGGGTTTTAGGTCAGGAGACAGTTGAAGAAGTCTGCGGTTTTTTAGAACACAGGCCACCGGAAAGGAAGGAGGGATAGAGGGTGGACCATTGCCCGAGGCTCTGGAAAGGCAGCAGAGACAAGGAAAATGGGCACACAACCCACCTGCCTAATAGGTGGCCCTAGTTGAGCCTGGGTTGAATCTCCTCATTGGTGAGTGGTCAGAGAGAGCGTCTTCTATGTTGACCTGCCACCAATATCGGCCATGAGCCTGGTGGGCGAGTAACTAGGGTGAACATCTCCATGATAGTCAAACCCCTGGGGAAAACTTGGTCCCCAGATCCGTGACCTGCATAGGATCTTTTCTGGTTCTGAACCACACAGAAGAACCTGGTTTACCTGATTTTCCTTGTCTTTGCGGTAGAAAAAGGATGAAACCGAAAGGGGGAGGAAGTGGAAAGGAAAAGACAAAAGAATGGGAAAGCCAAAAAGAGAGACTGCTTACCAAAATAGCCGGTGGTGTGCGTGTGTGGGCTGGTCTGATGACCCCAGGTCGGTAGGTAGAGTTCTTCATGGAGGGGGCACAAGAACGGGCAAGGGTTTGGTCTCCCATACGAGTTCCCCTGACCTGGGTTTTGGCACCAAATGTTAAAACATGTTAAAACGTGCACTTTGAACGAAGAAACCCCCCAAACAGGCTTTGTGTGAGCAACATGGCTGTTTATTCACCTGGGTGCAAGTGGTCTGAGGCCTAAAAGGGCGTTAGCAAAGGGCGATGGGATATGAGTTGGTTTTATAGGTTTGGGGTGGGCAGTAGAAAGTTACAGAGTAAGATTAGTTACAGTGGTGGGGGTAGGGGCAAGGAGTATACATTACTGTAAGTTCAGTTACAATGGCAGGTGGGGTAAGAGTAGTTAAGATGGTAGGGTGGGGTGGGGAGTCTTCACATTATCATAATAACAGTTATGATGGCAGGCAGGATGTGCTATCAGGGATAATGGTGAACACAGGCAGATGAGGGGTGATCAGCCCAGACAGGCAGGACTTCAGACTTTCTGAGTCCAGGCTTGCACATGAAGGCCTGACATGAGCCAAATATGAGTGACCATGGCCCATGACACAGCCCTCAGGGGATCCTGAGAACGTGTACCCAAGGCAGTAGGGGTGCAGCTGCGTTTTATACATTTTAGAGAGGCATGAGACATTAATGCAATACATGTAAGAAATACATTGGTTTGGTCCAGAAAGGTGGGACAACTCAAAGCCGGGAAAGGGGCGGGGTGGTGTGGGGCACAGGTTTCCAGGATATAGGTAAATTTAAACATTTAAACATTTTCTAGTTGACAGTTGAGTTTGTCTAAAGACCTGGCATCCGTAGAAAGGAAATATTCAGGTCAAGAAAAAAGATGTGGAGACCAAGGTTCTTTTGAAGTCTTACAGTGGCTGCCCTTAGAGGTAATAGATGGCAAATGTTTCCTATTCAGACATTTGAAAAGTACTAGACTCTTAGTTAACCTCTTCGGAATTGGACTGGCCTGGAAGAAAAGATCTAGCTATGTTAATAGGATTCTTTACAGACACATATTTACCCCTACAAAGGACAGATTTGCTGGGCCATTTCAAGATATGGCAAAGAAACATGTTTTGGGGTAAAAGATTTTTATTTTCTTCTTTGTCTTGTAATGTTATGCCAGAGTCAGGTTGGAAAGTAAGTCACAATACATGGGGTTAAATAAAACCCATCTGATGAGAATTTATGGTTTGTAGGGCATGACTTCCCAGACCCCTTAGATAGGAATTTAGACAAGATTAAAAAAAAAAAAAAATCAGAGTTTAGTCTTCATAATCTCATATCTTGCTTTTTTACTTAAAATTTTAATTATAGAAAAGATTGACCCCAAGTCAATAAAGGCATTAAAAATGTTTTTCTTCCATGTCATATTTAAAATGTATCTTATTTTTGATTAAATATATTTCTGTATTTAATACTTTCAGGAAAATGTCATTTTAAACTCTCTCAACTTAAAAAGATTTTTCAAATTTCTATGTAAACTTTTACTCTCTTAAAGCTCAAGCAAAACTGTTAAAATTACAATGAAGACTAACATAGTTTGAATATAAAATTTTTTTTTTAGGAAAAAATGCCAAAAGCTATACTGTCTTCTACTGTATTGCTTTTGCTATTTTAGAAGTATCTTAATGAATATAGATTGCAGTATAATAATACTTTTAAGTAATTAGAATCATTTTTGCATTTTTAAAATTGACCATAAACTTTGGGAGGCCAAGGTGGGTGGATTACCTGAGGTCAGGAGTTTAAGACCAGCCTCGCCAATGTGGTGAAACCCCGTCTCTACTAAAAATACAAAAATTAGCCAGGTGTGGTGGTACCTGTAATCCCAGCTACTCGAGAGGCTGAGGCAGAAGATCCCTTGAACCTGGGAGGTAGAGGTTGCAGTAAGCTGTACTCCAGCCTGGGCCACAAGAGCGAAACCCCATCTCAAAAAAAAAAATTGACCATAACCTATATGGCTTTTTTTTTTTTCTCAGTTTTATTTTAGAGCCAGTCTTTCAATGCTGTACTATATGGCTTACCCAGAGTTGCTCAGGGGTATTTATTAATCATTACATATGGATTCTCCTGTTAATCACTCTTGAACATGCTGCATAGAATTGCCTTTTGAGATGTAACTTGATTCATATCAGTACTTCTAATTCATAAAAGCTGCCCTGGTGACTTTCATTTGGGACTCATTTCTTTGGTTTCCTTATCCTCGTCATCTTAATGGATGTGGTATATTTTTCTTGATTGGCAATTATGTGGGTTTCTTACTATAGTTTTTACTGTTCTGAAAAATGAGTCTTTTTTGCTATGTCCACTCCTAGAGTGCTCCAAAATTAATCTCATGTTTGGCTACATAGATTATATTATAAATATAGCCATCCCAGACATATTCTCCATATTTAGTGAACATTTGTCAATTTGTATGATGTGATAACAGAAAAAGACTCAGAAACCTATTTTATTTATATATGTATATATATGCAGCTTATCGTTACTTGGCCAGTAATGGTTCTTTTATCCACTAAATATGCAATTTATTACAGAGATTAGTAAAACAGTCTCTGCTCTAAAGGACCATGCTCTCTAGTCTTAGAAACTATAATATTTATTTATTTATTTATCATACTGATAAAGTATGACTCAGAGCACCGTAAATATCTTACTAGAGATAAAATCAAGGTATTATGGGAATTCAGGGAGGGTCAGGTTACTTTTACCTCACAATGTGTGTGTTGGAGAGGAGACTGGAGCTGCATTGTCAAAAAAAAGTCATGTGCACTACATGTGGACTGAAACCTACCAGTCAGGAGAGATGGAGAAGGGTACAGGCAAGGAGAACTAGCAGATGCATTAGGGGTGCAGATATACAAGACCAGACTGGTTTGGCTAGAGTGAAGCTGCTGCCTGGGAGAACAGGATGGGATAGTAGGGTGGGCCCAGAAACTGAGAGGCTTAACTACTCCATTGCGTGGCCCTCTACTCCTGTGACCTACTGGCCCTTTGTGTGAGTATGTGTATGCCCTCTGGGAGCTGCCAGCTGGGGTTTTAATCCCAGGTCTACAACTTACAAGCATCTTACAATCATTTGCTGGGTGTCCTAGGGCAGTTCTTAATCTTTCTAAGCTTTAGTATACTTATCTATAAAAATGAATAAATAATACATAAACATGTGAAGTGCCTGGCAAAGTGACTACATATAATAAAGTAAGTAGTAAACAAAAGTCATTACTATACTGTTTTCCCAGTTGAATGTGCAGTATTTCTGTTTTTCCTGTTCAGTAGGGGGAGAATGAAGTTAGAATGGTAGGGGAATTAACTTCTTTCTTTGAAAACTGATGAATAAAGGGGAAGAAAAATCAAACATTTATTCTGCCTTCGGTATATGAGCCATACTACTGAATAAACACATAATAAATAACCAGATATTTTTCTTTATGGGATTCTTCACCTGATTAATGAAGAAAGAATGATAGAAGTAGAATATCACCAGTTGCAGTGCTTCATGAACTAATGGATCTATGCATAGACCATAATGGTAGCTAACATCCAAAAAGAGACGCAACCATTTATTATATGCCTTCTGATAGAGGAACATTACCTATCAAATGGTCTTGTCAAAAAGATTTGAACCTGGGCCGGGCGCGGTGGCTCACGCCTGTAATCCCAGTACTTTGGGAGGCCGAGGTGGGTGGATCATGAGGTCAAGAGATCAAGACCATCCTGGTCAACATGGTGAAACCCTGTCTTTATTAAAAATACAAAAAATTAGCTGAGCATGGTGGCGCGTGCTTGTAATCCCAGCTACTCAGGAAGCTGAGGCAGGAGAATTGCCTGAACCCAGGAGGCGGAGGTTGCAGTGAGCCAAGATCGCGCCATTGCACTCCAGCCTGGGTAACAAGAGCGAAACTCCATCTCAAAAAAAAAAAAAAAAGATTTGAACCTGTGTCTGATCAAGCCTCTAGATCCAGTTATTAAGTTATGGAAAATATGAGGATGTAGAGACATTAAGGAATACCACAGAGATGTAGAAAAATGAAGATTTTAGGAGACCCAACAGATAAATATCTGATTTTTGTCAACAAATAAATTGCAGGATGGAGTGGGGATCTGGGAGACGTTATAGATTAACATGCCTAAAAGACTTATGAGCCAATCATAATAAGTAAATTTTAATTGGATCTTGATTCAAACAAACTGTTTAAAATTATGGCAGTTATGAGATAGTTGAAAATTTGAACACTGATTAGATATTTTATGATATTTAGGAGTTACTAATCACTAATTTTTTTAGAAGTGTTTTTTTTATTTTTTTTTAAAAACTACATAGTAAAGGGAAGATGAAAAAGCATCATGATTACAGTGGTAAAGTACTCTTATTTCTTCATTTTAAAACATTTTCCCTAAGAAACATGTGCTTTTTATTTTTCAGGTTGCTGCATGATCTCAACTTTTCCAAAAATGAGATCCACAGTTTTACAGCATAATGAAGAGCTGTCATTATCCTTTATTCAGCTAGTTTATCTAAATTTGTGATTGCTTAGGGTTTTTTAAGAGAACATTTTTGTACATAATAAAAGGTTAACTAGAATCCAGGCTTCAGTTTCTTAAATGAAATCAAATGTTCCTTAAGTACAGGTAACTTCTTGGCTTTTTTATGTACCATAACTTATTTTGCTACTGATACTTGACCTGAAAAGTTAATCATAGCAACTAATACATACAGGATTCTTTGTTAGGAATCACAAATTTTCTTGCCATATAAATTGTATCACTGTTCTACAATAAGCACTTGTGTTTTATGACACAATAAAGTAAATGATCACCTCGATCACATTTCTATGCTGTAAAATGTCTTATTAGCAATACAGATTAAATTTTACATTGCACTGTTAACTCAGGAAATGATCGTTTATGTCCTTGTTATTAAAACATAGAATGTTATAACTTATTAAGTGATACAAACATTGTTATGTGTATGTATGGCATTGGTGCAGAATAGAATAAAATCATACTTAAGTTCTTTTTAATCCTTGTGGTAGAAGTGTGGTTGACTGCAACAATATTGGGCCAGTATCATAAGGGGAATTTTAAAATGCAGCAATAAAATATATTAGAGACATGTCACACATGCACCTTTGGATGAGGGGTATTAACAGAGCTTGAGAGAGGGAACCTTGAGAGCTATTTTTATTCTTAGCCAAAAACAAAGGCATTAGGAAAGAGAATGAAAGTGTAGTATCTGGTTCCACAGCCTAAAATTATTTGGTGCTTTGGAATGGGTTGAATTTTAGTTTGTTTTTAATCTGTCTAAATCAGCTGGGAAAATGAGGAACATTCTGTCCTGAATGGTTCTTTCCCTGGTTGGCAGCTTTCTCCACAGCTGGTGGTTCAGCAGGAAACCCTCTTAGGTTCTTGTGTGTGGGCAACTTATCTCCTCTCCCTGCTGCCTTGTGCAACTTTCAGATACTTTAAAGAGATTCAGATCAGCAAAGGGTTTGAAGAATAGTCATTGTGAGCTTTTCATGAGGAAACTGTTGAATGCATAGGTAGCAACTGTCTAAGCTACTAGGATTTTTCAGTCTTAGTATAGCAGCAGTGTTTTCACAGAAATAGTGGATGGAAAGAGTCTCCAATTTATCTGTAAATGACTTTGTAAATAGCCAAATCTTCACTGAAGTAATAATACACTCAAGAGGAACACAATATTAATATTCCCCAAGTTACAGACACCCAGCTTGTGAAGCTTCCTATGTGCAGATGGCTGGTTGTACACTGTCACTTTGGTTTTGTGCCTCTTGTCTTCTGTAGCCAATTCCACCATCATTATTATTCACAAGACAGGAATCTAGCTGTCCTGGGCTGGCAGTGTTCCCTGGTAGCTAATAAGAACTTTTTCTAGCTTCATATCTTCTCACTACTTCCTTTTTTCCATCTAAGGGTGAAGTGATTTGGCTCTGTGTCCTCACCCACATGTCATATCAGATTGTAATTCCCACATGTCAAGGAAGGGTCCTGGTGGGAGGTGATTGGATCATGGGGGTGGTTTACCCCATGCTGTTCCCGTGATGGTGAGTGAGTTTTCATGAGATCTGATGGTTTAAAAGTATGGCAGTTCCTCCCCACCTCCTGCTGCCTTATGAAGAATGTCCTTGCTGCTTCTTTGCCTTCTACTTAATTGTATGTTTCCCGAGGCCTCCCCAGCCATGCAGAACTGTGAGTCAAGTAAACCTCTTTTCTTCATAAACTACCCAGTCTCAGGTAGTTCTTTATAGCAGCATAAAAATGGACTAATACAAAAAAAGATGATGTACCACTTTTTTTTTAGTTTGTTTGCAGTGAATCAATGAAATCTAACTTAGCCAGCATCTTTCTCATTTTTTCTAACTCCCCTTTTTTCTCTCTCTCTCCAGTCCCAAGCAGCAGAATCTCCTCTCTTGTTAATCTCTTATTTGTAATGCTTCCTCATTCCTCCTTTTAAGTTTTATATTTTAAAACAAATCCATAAGTATCTCCTGGTAACCTCCACTCACATGATTTTATCATCTTTCATGTTAATAATTCCCAAACAGGAGTCATTGATTTGAGAATCAGCTGAGCTTCAGTTTTCAGTATCGATTTACCTCCTGCACACCACCCCACCATCCACCTAGTAAGCCATTCTACAACTATTAGGGATCAACATCGATGTCCCCGTCTCCAGTCTGACTCTTCCATACCAGCTAACCCTGTCCTATCATCCCTCAGCTGGATTAGTACAGTAGCCTGATAATTCATCTTCATGCTGCAGTCTGTTCTCCTAAAATGTATTCTCCATTCCAAGTTACTCTGGAAGGGCTTGGAGAAAAAAATCCCTAGATAGAGTCTCAGTCTTCCAGGTAATACAACCAAATACTGCAGAGCATAGATAGGAGTATAGCTTATCACTGTTATTCTCAAGCAAATAACTCAAAGACTCCTACATCACATATTTGCAATGAAGAAAAAGAATTATGCTTAAAGTCACATTTGCTTGCAAATTCTGCTTTAAAAAAGATGTTTACGTATTTTCTATTGCTGCTAGATCAGATTACTACAAACTTAGTAGCTTAAAACAACACCCATTTATTACCTCACAGTTCCATGGCACAGAAATCTAGGCACAATATGGCTCAACTGGGTCCCCTGCTGAAAGCCTCACAAGGCTGAAATCAGATTGTCGACTGAGCTGAGCTCTTAACTAGGGGATCTAAGGGGAAGTCCCTAGATAAGAGTTCTTTTAACCTCATTTAGGTTGATGGTAGATTTCAGTTCCTTGAAGTTGTAGGACTGAGTTCCCCATTTCCTTGCCGGCTGTTAGCTGTGGGCTAGTCTTTGTTTCCTGAATTTACCCACATTCCTTTTCATGCTTTCCTTGTGGCCCCCTTCAGCATTGGTAGGTGAATCTCATGCTTTCAGTCTCTCTGAATTCCCCTCTGCCATATCTTTCTTGCCCTAGTGAGAGAAAGTTCACTGTTTTTAAGATCTCACATGGTTAAATTGGACCCACCCAGATATCCAGGGTAGTGTTCCTACTTTAAGATCTATAATCTTAATTACAGCCGTAAAGTTCCTTTTCCTATATAATATTCAAAGGTTGCAGGCATTTGGTTGTTGACATCCTTGATGGGCACATTTGGTCTACCACAGGCTATGAAAAGAACAGAGAAATTTGTCCAAGGTAAGATTGATTAGGTTTTATCTAGTTAGGGGCCCTTGCTATGGACCCTCACTTTTTACCTTAATGTAGCAGAACATAGAAGGAGCTTTCTGACCCCAGAAGAGTCAACTTCATTATGCTGGCAAAGACATGGGTACAACCTGCTCTGTGGTCTACCCTCTCAACCATACAAACTTGTCCTGAACCAGCTTGTGGCTGATTCTGTTGATAACAGACCCCCATTTTGAGGCAGGGGAAAAAAAAAAAAAAAAAAAAAAAAAACAGATTCTGTATGGTCTACAATATTTAACATTGTGGCAAATAAATTATAAAGGAAAAATGAAGTCTCAGCTACTCTCAGTCTCTTGGTCTTTCAACATTGGTTTTATTGTGAAGTCATCTTCACCCAGTATTGCCAGTTTAGCAGACCTCAAAACAGAATGCCAAAGTGATCTGAAAATTCAAAAATGAGTTTACTTTCTTTGCTAAAGTTCCCTTTCGATACATAGGCCCCATTCGTGGGAGACATTATCCTGGGTGCAGCATCATACATAGAGTTAAAATGTAGAAACAACCCAAACATCCTGATACGGTTTATCTGTGTCCCCACCCAAATCTCATCTTGAATTGTACTCATAATTCCCACGTGTTGTGAGAGGGACCTGGTGGGAGACAATGTGAATCATGGGGGTAATTTCTCCCATACTATTCTCAAGGTAGTGAATAAATCTCTTGAGATCTGGTGGTTTTATCAGGGGTTTCCACTTGTGCATCTTAGTCATTTTCTCTTGCTGCCACCATGTAAGAAGTACCTTCCACCTCCCACCATGATTCTGAGTCCTCCCCAGCAATGTGGAACTGTAAGTCCAATTAAACCTATTTTTCTTCCCAGTCTCGAATAAGTCTTTGTCAGCAGTGTAAAAATGGACTAATATATTAAATCGGTACCAGTAGAGTGGGGTGTTGATGAAAAGATATCTGAAAATGTGGAAGCAACTTAGGAACTGGGTAACAGGCAAAGACTGGAACAGTTTGGAGGGCTCAGCAGAAGACAGGAAAATGTGGGAAAGTTTGGAACTTCCTCAAGACTTGTTGAATGGCTTTGACAGAAATATTGATAATTATATAAATAATGAAATCCAGGCTGAGGTGGTCTCAGATGGAGATGAGAAACCTGTGGGGAACTAGAACAAAGGTGACTCTTGTTATGTTTTAGCAAAGAGACTGGGGGCATTTTGCCCCCGCCCTGGATATTTGTGGATGTTTGAACTTGAGAGAGATGATTTAGGGTATCTGATGGAAGAAATTTCTAAGGAGCAAAGCTCAATTCAATAGGTGACTTAGGTGCTGTTAAAGGTATTCAGTTTTAAAAGGGAAGTAGAGGGCCGGGCACGGTGGCTCAAGCCTGTAATCCCAGCACTTTGGGAGGCCGAGGCCGGTGGATCACGAGGTCAAGAGATCGAGACCATCCTGGTCAACATGGTGAAACCCCGTCTCTACTAAAAATACAAAAAATTAGCTGGGCATGATGGTGCGTGCCTGTAATCCCAGCTACTCAGGAGGCTGAGGCAGGAGAATTGCCTGAACCCAGGGGGGAGGTTGCAGTGAGCCAAGATTGCGCCATTGCACTCCAGCCTGGGTAACAAGAGCGAAACTCTGTCTCCAAAAAAAAACAAATAAAAGGGAAGTAGAGCATAAAAGTTCAGAAAATTAGCAGCCTGACAATGCGATAGAAAAGAAAATCCCATTTTCTGAGGAAAATTTCAAGCTGGCTGTAGATATTTGCATAAGTAACAAGGAGCCAAATGTTAATCACCAAGACCCCCCAAAATATCTCCAGGGCATGTAAGAGACCTTTGTGGCAGCCTCTCCCATCACAGACCCAGAGGTCTGGGAGGGAAAAAATGGTTTTGTAGGCAGGGCCCAGGGTCCTGGTGCTGTGTGCAGTCCAGGGATTTGGTTCCCTGTGTCCCAGCCACTCCAGCTGTGGCTGAAAGGGGCCAGTGTAGAGCTTTGGCCGTGGTTTCAGAGGGTGCAAGCCTCGAGTTTTGGCAGCTTCCATGTGGTGGTGCATCTGTGAGTGTTCAGAAGTCATGAATTGGGGTTTGGGAACCTCTACCTAGATTTCAGAAGATGTGTGGAAATGCCTGGATTCCCAGGCAGAAGTTTGCTACAGTGGCAGGGCTCTCATGGAGAACCTCTGCTAGGGCAGTGCAGAAGGGAACTGTGGGAGCCCCACACAGATTCCTTACTGGGGCACTGCCTAGTGGAGCTATGAGAAGAGGGCCACCATCCTCCAGACCCCAGAATGGCAGATCGACTTACAGCTTGCACCTTGCACCTGGAAAAGCT